TGGAGAGCTAACACAAGGCCTCACCTTTTCTTGGCAGGAAAGAGTGCTGTTTGGGGAGCATGTGCTAAAGGAGGGGTGTAGGTTTTGAGGTATACAGAAAAGGGCGGGGGGCAGCATGCATCCTGGGTTTACCAGGATGTTTACCTGCTGACTTTGGCCAAACCCTTTACTTTATAGAAGAGTAACTGAAGAGAATGGAGACTAGAATGATTTCCTTGCTCTAATAATTCACGGCAGAGGTGGAAGTGGAACCCAGACCAGTGTTCTTACAGGTGGTCCCCAATGGAATAGCCTGAATCACACTGACCTTGGGTCATCTTTGTTTGTCTGCCTCTAAAATGTGGACCCCTCCCTCCTGATCCAGGGTGGGAAAGGCCAGGACGCACACAAAAGTGCAGCAAGAGCTGCTAGCAAAGGGCAGGCAGCAGTAATAACTTGCAGCTGTGCTGAGTGACAGCACTTCTCCCAGATGCTGCAGATGGAGAGGGAAGACTTGTGCAATTTCCTGGAGGCGTGTCAACTTTCACCTCCAGAGGCAAGAATGAGGAACTTGGGGTAGGAGGAACTGGCCTGGAACATCACATCTGAAGTGCAGATGGAAGGTAATGCATGCATGGTACAGGATGTGGAATCCACTGGCATGTGAATCCCGTGACCGATGGCTAGTCCTCTGAGCTGGTCCAGCAGGTAGATCCCTCAAAGGAGTCCCCGCTGAGTGCACAGTAGGCTCTCCATCAGTATTAGCTGATCAGACACATCATGTTTCCTCTTCTCTCTGGGATTTTGCACATGTGGATTTTTCTGCTTAGAATACTTCTGCATTTTCTCTCCTCATTAACAGCTCCCCTGCCCTCCTGTATTCAGAGAACGCATTCTCTGACCTCCCTGAGGGTGTCAGGGACCCTCTTGGGGGTGTCCACCACACTCTACACATGACCCATCAGCACTTACTGCTCTGGGCTCTGGTGGCCTTTCTTCTGGACTAGACTAGGGTTTCCTAAGAACAAAGCCCATAAATTATTTGTCTCTACATCCTCAATGTTCGCCTTCAAAGAATAAATTCTGGCTAACTTACTAAATGAAGTTCCCACTCCCTCCATTCACGACTATGAAAAAGAGCCCTCCAAAGAGCACCAAAGCAAATGCTATTTTTTTTTTTTTCAAAGTACTATAATACTGGATTAAGAATAAAATTACCAGGGCTGGGGTTGTGGCTCAGTGGTAGAGCGCTTGTCTAGCACGCGTGAGGCACTGGGTTTGATCCTCAACACCACATAAAAATAAAATAAAGGTATTTGTTCACCTAAAACTAAAAAAAAAAATATTAAAAAAAACCAAGTTACCCACACAAAGTTTTGGTATTAAACACTGATATCAAGTGTAAGAAGAACCCCCCCTTAGAATACACAGTGCCCTAGAGTGAGAATGTACTTCCTGTGCTGCCTGAGCCCTACCACCTGTTCCCTAAACTCCATGGCTATGTGGCCAAAGCTTTTCTAGCTCAGTTTTGTCTTGTACCAGCAACAGGCAGGCGTGGGCACCATGACCAGATAGTTTAACCACAGCTTCAGGATATGAAAAGGGGAGGGGACAGAGGGCTTCTACCTTTTCTAGGGTGGGGCTGCCCTTCCTATAAAGAACAGAAACTCAGGCCACCTGAATGACCTGTAATTTCACTTTTTTTCTGACCGATTTTATTCCCAATTTATCTCATTCTAAAAAAAAAAAAATCCTTTGAGATAATTGTCATTTCTTCAGGATTTTTTGGAGTTGGGGGGTAACCAGGGATTGAATCAGGGAGCCCTTAACCACTGAGCCACATCCCCAGCCCCTTTTGTATATTTTATTTAGAAACAGGGTCTCGCTGAGTTGTTTAGGGCCTCACTAAGTTGCTGAGGCTGGCTTTGAAATCGTGATCCTCCTGCCTCAGCCTCTAGAGCTGCTGGGTTTACAGGTAAATGCCACTGCACCCAGCCCCTGAAGGATTGCAGTCTAGTTCTATGATCTTGGACAAGTGCCTTTCAATCTTCTTGAGTCTCAGTCTCCTTGTGTGTAAAATGGGGATAACAGTGACCAAACTAGATCACTGTGATTTTCCCCCAGTGCCAGAGACTGAGTCTGAGGAAGGTAGGGCTCCACGACTGGGCTGCCCCCCAACCCCGTCCTATTGTGATCTTAAAATTCCTTACTATGTGAGGAGAACCTAGCCCACGGTACACAGTAGGCATACAAAAAATGAGGACTCTCCACCATAATGCCCAGAGAATAGAAAAGTTCTAAGAGGTCTTTTGGGGGGGAAAAAAAGGAGGAAAGAGGAAGACATCAGGGTTCTGGAAACTATTTTACAGGGAATTCAGATGGCAAAACAGACAAGAGCCATGGGGACCTCTGAGATTTCCACCATGCTTGTATCTCCCATGCAGGCTGACTTCATTTAAGTCAGCGGTTCAATCTTTTAAATGAAAACGGCCCAAGCACTTATTTAGGGTCCGATTTGGGGAGAAAGGGAAAGAAACTAAGAGACAAGAGAGAAATGGCTTAGTAGAGAGAAGAGCTGGAATGTCTGAGGGTCAGCAGAATTGAAAGTAGGAACGTTGTAAGCTTGACAAGAGAACAGAAAGCCTCATTTTGAGGAGTTCTGTAACCCCTCAGATCGGAGCAGACCATTCCTCATTCCCCACCCCCTGCTCCAGAGCCCTGGCCCACGGTGCCAGCATCACAAAACACACCAGTTTGGGGAATGCTGTTAGTACTCTGGACAGTTCCATGACCTTATTGGTGTAACCTGATCTAGACATCCAGTTACTGGGATGTGTAAAAGACACCCGATTCTTTCTGTGACAGTGTGGTTATCCTAAACCTCCTAAGACATGAGTACAAAGAGAATCCCAGCCTCTGGCCTCAGTCCATACACGAAAAGAGTAAAGTTGCCTGAATCTGGGTCAGAAGGGAAAGATGCCTTTTGGGGACAGAGGAACAATTACTGCTTGCCTGACCATTTATCCACAGGGTGGTGGTTCTCAACCTTGGCTGGGTAGCAGTCACCTGGACACCTGCAGAGCTTTAAAAAACACAGATGCTCCAGGCCATCCAACCCAGACCTACTACATACTTCACCTGAAGAACCACAGGTGACTGAACTCTGAAGCCAAAGTTGACTACAATGCTTTGTGGAAATGTTTTGAACTTCAGGGAAATCACTAGGGTTTTACACAAGGAGACAAGAGAACTTGTCTTTTTCTTTCCAAGCAGGAGCTGCAGAAGACCGTTCAGCTTTGGCCCCCTAAGAGGAGTGACTCAGGAGGCAAGGGCACTTAGCCATTTAAAAATTCCCAGGCCTTCCTCATTGTCAGAGTAGAACTCAATAAAAGGTATATTTCTTAGTGAAATTAGACTCAGATTTTAACTAACGTTATGGGAGCACTGTTTTGTGGCTAGTCCTGCCCCAGACATATAAATCCCATGAGACATCACATCCTTCTTGCCTGAGGTGCACTCCTGGAAATGGAGGAGTGCTCATGAGAGCTTCCACCCCTCTGCAGCACAGACCTCAGGAAGACGTCCTCTCTGGTGCTATGATTTATTACCTACAATCAAAATACAACTTGGGGTTTATTGTCTTCTTTTTTCCCCTGCGGTGCTAGGGAATCAAACTCAGGCCCTCCTGCATGCTAGGCAAGTGCTCTCCCACTGAGATCCACCTCCAGCCCTGATGTGTCTTCTTGCTATTCCTTTTAATTGCTCTAAAGGTAGATGCAGTGACGTTGAGTGTATGACATGAATTTATCTGCAGCTTTTTCTCTCTGCCTGTCAAAATATCTAGCCTGTATTTTAACTTTATTACAACAATTCCATGTTTGCCCATCCTTTGTTAAACAATCAAACTGTTGGGAATCTTAAGATTTGTGCACATTGCACTGCAGGGGAATATGCAGGTGGTTTTTGGTGGAGAACATTGAATTACACTGAGCTGAGTAGTCCTATGAGCCATTTTTAAATACAATGAAACTGAGGCTCAGAGAAGTTCAACAACTTGTTGTTGGACACACAGAGCTAGGACAAGTCAAAGCAAAGATTTAACTCCAAGTATTCTGATTCCTAGGTTTGTACTTTTGCTTTAACACCACTTCAGCAGCCTGAACAGCCCTTTTGAATGGCTAGTTATTTATGTGCAGATTTATTAATAGTTGACAACTCACATACTGTTTTTTATCAGCCACACATGCAAAACCCACTAAGATCCAACAGCATTTTACGAGGAGGACATGATCATAAAAGTAGAAGGCTCAGAGAGGTTGAATGATTTGTCCAAAATCAAACAGCTACTAAAGGGTTGAACTTGTATTTGACTTTAGGTCTGCAGGGCTTGGAAACAGCTTTTTTTTTTTTTAATGAGGCCCAGATGGTGCAGTGGAGACAGAGTCAAAGCCATGGATTCTAGTCCCTTTCCAATAATTTATTAGCTGTATCACTTTGGACAAGTTCCTTGCCCTCTGTAAAATGGAAATAATTTTAAGTAATAATTTAACTGAGACATGAAGATCCAATGGATGTAAAAGTATTCTGAAAAACCCCTCTAAAAATTGAGATAGGAAGAACTAAGGTGCGCTAGTCAGCGAGTCTGTCACGTATTGGATGTATGACATTGGTCAAGCAATTTGACCCAATGCCTCAGTTTTCTCATCTGCAAAATGGGAGTAAATCCAGTAACTAACGTGGTTGTGGCAATTAAACTAGAACATTCATTTAAACACAGGACTGCCCGACACAATACTCATGAATGGACGTTAGCCTTGACCATTCTGACTGTGCCTCTCTGGTCTTCAACTATCTCGAAGCATGGACTTCTTTAAAGCTATTAAAGGCGCCCTGGGCTTCAGTTTCGGTCTTACTACTCTCTGCCCGCTTCCTCGGACCCCATCTCTCCCCTCCCAATTCAAAGCCCACCTCAAACCCCTTCGGATAACCCCGTCCCCTCCGGGATTCGCGCCGTCTCTTACTCGACGACCTTGGCTGGATCTCCGTGGCTCCCATAGATCAGCGCCCGGACCCGGGAGGCTTGGGCGGATGCGGAGTAAGAGGCAGCACCACCGTGGCGGCGGCAAGGTGCTAGTACTCCCGACTGCAGCTGCGACCCGGCTCGCGCCCCCCACAGAGCGCAGCGGACCCACATGCTCCTTCCAGCCTGCACAGCACTCGGCGCACGCGGACACGTCATCTTCCCGCGACCGCGGGCCTGCGCCCCGCCCCTCTCCCCGCCCCGCCGAGCGACCACGCCCCCAAAAGCCTCTTTAAAGGACCTTCTCCTCCTTCTGCCCGCCGCGCGGGGGCGCCGGTGAGACCTCGTGGGAACCATTGGGCAGTGCAGGAACCTGCTGGAGTTGCAGTTTTTTTCTGAGCCCTCTAGGGCTGCTTTTCCAACTTGGAGAGTCTGGGACTGGCCTACTGCTGTGCCTTCAGCCTGCGCTTTGTTCTTGGGTTTGGGAAAGTCATTTTCTCTCCCTCGGCCTCAGTTTCCTTTTTCCACGATTTATTGAGAGCACACTGTGCCAGGCTTGTGTGTGGCCAGGCTTTTTAAAGTATTATTTTTGTGTAATCCGGAAAGGAACAGAAAGGTAAAACTTACTATATTGAATGGCGATGATAAGGAAGCAGTAGTAGAAGTAGTTAGAAGACTTAGGTTCAAATCCTAGCAGTGCCACTTTCTAGTTTGCTAAAATGGAGATAATAAGCTTCATGTCAAATTGTTGTGAGCATTGGATGCAACAATAGGAGAATGTTATCGTGGACACAGGAGACATCATAAAATGTTAAGTGTATTCTGACAGATAAGGGAGGAATCACCAGGAGTGTGCCTTTTCAAAATGCTCATAGTGTAGAGATTAAGTGGGAAACTGGAAATTCTTTGTAAAAAGGTATAGCCCTTTAAAGATGCTAAGTTCTTATTTTTGGTGGAGAGAAGACATGAACGTAACTAAAACCCGAGTTGAATGTTAGCACATGCCAGAGTGCACTGCTTTAGTCTGAAGAAGAGATGTGCTGGGGGGAGGAGGCTGAGGGTCCTTGGAGGAGGTGCTATTGAAGCTGCCCTGTGTCTCAGAATCCTCTGTGCATAAAATCATGAGAGGTCCCATTCAGACCCACTGAATTAGAATCTCAGGGAGAGGACTGGGAGCATACACCCCTACAAGCTCTCAAGAGTATTATGATGCAGGTGGACTAAGGAATAGGCTTTGAGACAGTCAGGGCTTTAAAGGAGAAGGAAGAGGTCCTTTATATGGATTTTGGTGACCTGAAATTCTAGACCCTTTCTGTTGAGGCTGGCACAGCAGAGTACAGTGATGTGGAAACTGGATTGTGGCAAATCTGGCTTTAAGTCCTGGCTCTGTCATTTTGAGCTATTTGATTTTGGGCAAGTCACCTGGTTTCTCTGGCCTTCATTTTCTTATAGTTAAAAATCAAGGGAATAGAGCTAGGGATGTGGCTCAGTTGTAGAACACTTGCCTAGCATATGAGAGGCCCTGGGTTCAATCCCCAGCACTGAAAAACAAATAAAACAAAACAAAAAACCCCCAAACACCTAAAAATTGTGGGATTAATAGTTATCTGTTTCATTGTAGATAAAATGAAATATTATTCACTTGAAGCATTTAGCACAATGCTTGGCACATGGAAGCATTTGAAAACTATTATTAGGGAGTTATTGTAAAGATTAAATGAAAATATCATATGTAAAACATGGAGTAGGGTCTGGCTCATAGTATGCTCAATAGATAGATGTCTGCACTTGTTTTTATTCTTAGAGAAGGAAAATTCATGTCCAACAGGGGGGAAAGACTTGATCCTATAGTTGTATGAAAGCCCCCCCCCCCCACACACACTGTGCACACAAAATCTTGTCCCACTGATCTATTTTTACGGTGACACACAGGCCTACCAAGACTGTTGTAAGACTCTTTAGGTGACATTGAGCTGTTGACATTATCTTTTCCACCACATTGGCTCCCCTGAATCTCTGGGCAGCCCAACTAGGCAGCCTGGAGAATCATCCAATAAGTCTTCTTCCTTGTGGCTCAATTTTCTCTCTTTGCACCTTCCTATAGCCCTTGCTTCTAGTCTAGGCCCTCTGGGTTCCCCCAGGGGCGCAGTTTGAGAACCACTAATTGAAGGGCTCAAGTCCCGTTGTCCAGACCTTGCATTCAAGACTCTTTGCACCTTGACTCCCACCCTGTCTTTGCAGCTTTCTCTGCTGTTGGAGTGTGCACTGCCTAGGATCCAACTGTACCTCAGACTCACCTGTGCCAGTACTTTCTTGTCTTATGCTTCTTGAAGGCTGTTCCTTCTGCCTGAGTTTCCTGCCTTACCTGCCTGGAAAACTCCAGGTTCAGATATCATTTTATTGAGTCCACCTCTGCTGCCTTTGTGTTTTCTCTGGACCAGTGTTATGACCTTTAGGGCACTGTCTCATTTATTGATGCGCCCACGTCCTGCTCCAGGCACATGTAGGGCCATGTTTGGTTCATCTCCATGACACCAGTGCTCAATATGGGGCCTGGCACAGGGTAGGCATCATAAATATTCCATGAGTTGCAGGTAATTGAATTTCCTCATGGCCTGGCACAGACGGTAGTGCCGTCTCCCTTTCCCTAGATTTGGGCTGGTTACTGAGGGCTTGGGCATTCTTTCTTCCTTTCTTGTTCTTCTCTTAAGGATTATAGAAATCTGTGGTCTTTTTAAAGTAAAGCAGAATTTCTCTTTTCATCTGGCCACCTGTTGCTCGTACTGCCTTTTCTTCTCCCATCATAGTCTTTGCTGCCTTTCCTGGCACAAGGAGCAAAGGGATGTGGAATCAGTCAGATCTGGATTGAAGTCCTGGGCTCACCATTTACTAGCTATGTGACCTTGGCCAGTGCCTCATGCTCTCTGAAGCCTCAGTTTCCATACTTATAAAATGAGATCACCAATAAGCTCCTGTAACTGGTTCCTTTCAGAATTCTTTGCAAACACCATCCTTGGCTCTTTCTTCTGTTCATCAGTTTTCTCTCTTTTTCTGGGTGGCTCTGTCTCTTCTCTACTCCAGCATCTATCTCTGTTTCTTATTCCAATCCTTCTTTCTTTCTTTTTTCTTATACATAATTTTTAGTTGTAGTTGGACATTTATTTATTTTTATGTGGTGCTGAAGGATGGAACCCAGTGTCTTGCACGTGCTAGATGAGCTCTCTACCACTGAGCCACAACCCCATCTCCTCCAATCCTTCTTTCTTTGCTCTGCTTCTGTTCCCCTGTGACTGACTCTCTCATTCTCTTTGTAGTTGCTAAGAGAGTTGAAGCCAGGGGTTCTTTACCTCCCCATCCCTTTTTAATTATTTATTTTGAGACAGGTCTTAATATGTTGTTTAGGACCTTGCTAAGTTGCTGAGGATGACCTCAAACTTCCAATCCTCCTGTCTCAGCCTCCTGAGTTGCTGGGGTTACAAGGCTGTGCCACCATGCCCAGTTCCCATTGTTTCTTGTATGACCTGGGGGACATGTGGACCTCTCCAGCTGAACCTGACTTCGCTGTCCTTCCCATTTACTCAATTCCAGCTGCCCTGGTCTCCTTGTCACTCCTCAAACCCACCAGCTTCTGTCTTTGCATGGGTTGTCTCCTCTGGCTGCAGTATTCCTCTCTACTGATTTGCATGAGGCCGGCTCTTCTTATACATTAGATCTCAGCTCCAGTATCACTTGGCATAATGTTACTTTCTCCATGAAGCCCTTCTGGACCACCTTGTCTACAGTAGACCCTCCCTACTCTGTGTTCTTTACCACAGCACTCTACCCATTTCTTTTAGTGTGCATATCACAGGTTGTGATTACATATTTATTTATGATTGCTGTTGGTCTCCCCCACTAGAATGTAAGCTTCACGAAGACAAGTACCATGTCATTTAGCATTTATTAATCCATTCAGGATTTATTGAGCACCAACTATATGCCAGATACTAGGCATTGGGATACAGAACAAAATCTTTCCCTAAGGACTTTGGGAGCTCAGGTTTTAGAGGTGAAGAAAAATGATGAAACCATGAAATCATAGGTACTCTATTTAGAACTACAAAAATTCTTTTCCCCTTAGTGTTCATTCTTCCAAATTTTCTGGTCTGTGAGATAGTGATAAGGGATATATGTCAGAAAATTTGCTTTTTTTCACCTTTTTTTTTGTTATTGTCTTCCCACTGAAAGGTAAACCCCATGAAGATAAGGATATATATTTTTTGTCAGTTTTATTTTTCTATGATTATTTTCTATAGTAATTGTTGAATAAATGACTTAGTACCCCATAGGTATTTGTGAAGTGAAGGGGTTTCCAGATGGTAGGCAGTTCTCAGCTCCTTTTTAGTTCAAGCCAGACAACCTTGATTCAAATCTTGATGGTGCCTAAAACTAATTTGTAACCTTGGAAAAGGTCTCTGTCTCTGTGCAATTTGCTCCACCGTGTAATGGGAATACAGTGGTATAAGCCTAATAGGGTTAGGGTGAAGGTTAAATGATGGGGGAAAGCACATACAGGTGCTTGGTTTTACATAGTAATGGGCAATTAGTTTGCTGATTATTGAGCAAGAGCTTTATTGGAGGAGGCTTAATACTTAACCTGTGTAGCCAGAGGGTAGAGCAGGACCAGTGAGGGTTCGCAAGGGAGGTGGACTTCATGTCATGGAAAGGAAGAGTGTTCTAAAAGCCCGCGTTTCCAAAGGCCCAAAGATGGCTCTTGGCAGGTGATGAGCACCCTCTAAGTATGAATGTGCATTTAGAGGGGCCAAGGTAGAGAGAACTCAAGCTTCGGATAGGACAGAGAAGCAGGTGTCCCTGAATCAGTCCCTGAGAACTCTGCGAGAGCAATGAGGGTGCTCGCTTGAGAACGTTGGTGCCCGGTAAGTGCAGAACAAGTGGGCGTCCAGTCCAGGCCACCCGACCTCTGGCAGGGGTGCCCGAGTGGGGGAGGGGTGTGCCGGGGCTAGCCGGGCAGCAGCGCGCGCCTCCGCCAGCAGGGGGCGCGCCGAGACCGCGGAACGCTGGGCCGGGCCTGACGTCAGCGCCCCGTTCGCTCCGGCTCCCGCTCTGGACTCCGCGCCAGTCCCGCTCTGCGCCGCGCTGCTCCGCTCCGGCTCCGGCTCGCCTCGGGCTCGGCTCGGGCTCAGGCGGCGGCGCCCCCCGCGCCGGGCCCCG